ATTTATCTTAACCCAATGGTGCCTGGTGTACAAAACAAAAAAAAAACTCTACGCTTAAGCAAACAAAGGCGGCGCGCCGACTTTGAGTGCGTGAGTAGGGGACATCAGCCCGAATCACTGGCTCGCCGCGCTTTGGCGCGCCGCTGGCTGGTTTGGCTGCACGCTAGCTTTCGAGCGCTTTGTTTACACGCCGATCGGCGTCACCCGGCACCAAGGGGTTAGATTTGAAATGTAATGTATTGCTTAAGCTTACTCATTGTATAGGATGTAAATGAATTATAAGATATATCATACAGGCAAGATAAACTTACTGTTGCATTTAACTGCTTTCAATAGGGGATGAAGTATTGACTGTAGAAAATGTGTTGCTTGCGATATTACTTGGGATAATTTCACACAGTGCCAGGTTCTCTATATCACTGAATTATAAACATGCAGCCACATGGCAATCACACATACAAGTTTCTCTATTAACCTATTGCCGCCGGGGAAAATGAACAAAAAATGGGGGAAATGCAGCATTCATTTTTTATATTTTTGTAAAATATCTTTGTCCATAGATGGCTCTGCTAGTCCTGATTTCACCTTTCCTTGAATTGGCGGGAAAAAATGTATTTTTATTAGTGCTATAAATATAGATGGTGTTATTTTTAACAGCAAATTAGGATAATGTTAAATATTTTCGTAAATCGATGAAAAGGGTGAACGGGCGAGACAGGCAGTACTCGTAATTGGCTCATTGGATACTTAGTACAAGTGTAGCCATCTATGTGTAAAAACAATAAAACAAGTCGACTCACAGTGGGCATGGCATGTATGTAGATGCCATCCCCGGCGGCAATGGGTTAACCTTTTCAGTGATATTTCCTGAAACCACATTCATCCCCAGTGTTATATGCAACATATTTTCTAAAACACATTTTCAACACTTTTGAATATTTAATTTTATAGCATATGTTCATTTAATTACTTGACAACAAGACAATCAATATATTTTGCAATATATATATAAAAACTGTATTAACATTTGGAGTTAATCATATGTCTGTCAGTGTCTATTCACTAAGTCCTGGCTCCAATAATAATTTCTTTGCTTCCCTGACAAATAATTGCAGGTAACACTTCTTGACTGAGAAATCATATTATGTCATAACCCCTTTTGTCCCACAACTTCTTTAAGAATATAGTTGGTACTTCCCTTCTGTTTTGGAAGAAATATCTGTTATCTTGATTTATAGATAAGTTTTCTTATAGTTCATCCAATTAGCTTCACACCGGACACTGCACTTTGTTGCATCCTGAGGATACAAACACACAGTGACGCATGCAGATTTAGATTACCTGTGTAGGATTCATATTGAACAAGTTGTAAGTAAAACAAGGAACGGAAGAACAAGAAAACATGATTATTCTGAAAGCCTTTTTACTGTATTACTTCTTCAGGTCACTAATGGATTTATGGTTGGATGATTGTCATGATTAACTTTTTTTAAACACAAAGATAGTTTTGTAATGAACTGTAGAGGTAAGTAGAGAAAGGATGCCTGTTTTCAAACAAGAAAGGTGATGTTTACATAGATAAGATACTTACATTGAATATTTTTTATTGGAACACAAGATAATGGAATTACTTTAGATAATGTAATTTATAAGTGGCTTTCATATGGCTAGATACACTGAAACTATCTGAGTGTAAATTTAGACTGCTTCAATATATTCATTTTTTTCAGTGATGCATCTAGTGAAGAAGAAGAAGATGAAGAAGATAATGAAGATAACAATTGGAATGAAGAATATGAAGAAGAAGAAGAGGAAGAGGTTCCCATGCTTGATAGGGGAGTGAGAGAAGAGCCAAAGCTGATTGAAGCTGCTGCCCTAGAGGTCAAAGCGAAACCCAGCACCGCAGTTGCTGTCATACCAAAGAAGAGGGAGAAGCTCAAGAGGCGTGTGTCCTGGGCTGACGACATCAAGCCCCTGGAGACCATCATCCCTGACAACACCAGCGACGACATCTTCCGCATCAAGTACTCGTCAGCATGTGAGCTCTCGCCTGCTGATGAGGGTGGAGAAGGTGCAGGTGGAGCGACAGCTATGATGACAGAGGGCCAGGCTGGCAGATCCCTAATGGTCAGGAGCCCCTCGGATATTTACAAGGTGTTTGGAGGCGCCAGTGCTAGTCATGAACCTCATCCTCGAGGAATACTGAAGAAGTCCTCATCTTTGCCTCTGCAAGGTTAATATTTTTTTCTTCTTGCTTTGGGTGGGAAAATGTTAAAGGAAAATACTAGGACATGTTAGGAATGTAACATCTATATGAATTATATGAATATTATGTGAAAAATGGAATTAAGAAATTAATTAGTAATAACTTCTCTATATGAAATGAATGGATTAATTCATTCATTATGTAGTTAGTGAGCACTACAATAGATATTTATGAATTTTATCATTGCTTTTTTTTGCTTTTCCATATTAGGTGAAAGTGAATCCACCAATAACAAAGGCGGTTGGCGTTACGCCCCAGAGTCAGTTGAAATAGTGACTGAAGATATGGATGATTTGCCTCTCCCTAAGCCCCTGAGACCATCTCCTCCTCTGAAGAGAAAGTCACTGCAACCGGTAAGTTCTGCTTCTTTAACTCCCTTGGATCCAGGTGAAGTGACCATCACGCCATGAAAAAACTTGGGTTGAGGGGCAGGTGATGTGAACATGTTGTCACAGGAAAATCCGGCTGTTGTGAGTGTTTTGGCTGAAGGCTAGGGTGAGGGAAAAAACTTGCCACAAATGCACAAACCCATTTGGAGGTTGATTTTACTCATTTGGTGATTTTGTATGTTTCCCATTGATGAACAAGTGTGGATTGTCATGTCCGTGAGCCTTGTTCATTTGCACCCGGCAGCTCACATAAGCCTAGTGCCCAGATTTTTGGTAATTTGTTTGCCATGATGCAATTGCATCTCAAAAGGTTAATATATGTTGTTTTTTTCCCTTCTCCTTTACCTTGTTTTCCCTCTCAGTTATTTTCCTTTCTCTTAATTTTTTCTTATGTCTGTTTCCTTTGCATTATTTTCCTTCTTTTTCATTTCCTCTTCCTTCCTTTTGTTTTCCACCCTAGATTTCTTTGTCTTATTTTCATTGTCTCTTTCTTTGTCTTTGTCATTAATTGTCTTCATCTTCATTTAACTCTTCATCCTCATCCTTATCTTTATATTCATATTCATCCTCATCTTCACCTTCACCCTCATTTTTATCTTAATTATTATTTTAATCTCAGTCTTCATCATCTTCATATTCCACTTCATATAATGTACATCTTCACCACCTACTTTAACTTTACAGTCATCTTTATCTTTATCTTTATCTTTATCTCCATCTCTATCTTTATCTTTATCTTCATTCTACTGATAATGAAACCTAACTTATTGTCTTTGTTTTAACCTGTCTTGAGTTTATTTTAAAGTGATTATTATAAGTGATTAAATTATGACAACATAAAAAGTCTGATAGATTCTAAGGATGCGGTTAAAAGAATTTGATGTTGAAGGCTTTTGTTTTGGGTTGGTCTGTTAAATAATAATTCTGCTGTGACATGTCTCTGATAGTTCATCAATTAACTTCTTTTGCAGGCCTTCTCATATAAGGTTGTGGAACGGAATGTAGGAGAAAAGGAGGAGAGTAGCGACACACAAACGGGTGCCACCGCTCAGCCAGAATCTGGTGACGGGACACAGACCAAGAAGATATCGAAGTTCAAGGCTTCCAGAATGAAAAAGTAATGTGACAGGACGATAAAAATGATTATTATTTTTTTTTTTCCTATATTCAGTTGGTTGATGGACTGGAGTAAGAGAACTGGATGGGTGGCAAAATTACAAAATAGTTTGGTGGAATGTTTCAAAAAAGAATTTTTTGTGAACTTGAATGTATTTATTTTCAAGGAGTAGAGTTGTGACCCCTGTACATGTATAGTATTATTAAAAGAGTGTAAATGAATATGATAAATGTGTACAATTAGACATATCAATTTTTGACAAGATAATTTCCAGCTGCATGTAAACAATGACTGTAGTCTTCACATAGTATTGGTCTTGTCCACATAATCTCTGCCATAGACATTTTCTTGGGTGAATTGTTTGCCAAATTATACAAAACATTCTTGTGGGATCAAGAATAAAGAGGAGGATAACCCTCTTGCATTCTTGCTTTGAAAGGCATATCAGTTAGTGTTAATCATGCTTGCCATTATCCTATTTATATTCACCAAAGCATATCTTGTATTTTTATACCACTAGAGCATTTAGAAGGAAACTTAGGGAGAGCCGATAGAGCAACTTTCAAACAGAGAGCTCTTAGCAACAATACAAAACTATGATTTAAAACTACCTTGTCATACTAGACCTCTAATTGTCCTATATGCTCATAACTGGTGTCTTAATTGTCCCTTGAGTGTAGCTCTTTAGCATATATGTAAAACTGAGTGTTTGTATTGCAAGGCCCAGAGATGCAGATATCAAACACTTTCATTATTCCAATGATATAGTCTGTGAGGTTGATTGTTAATTATCAGCAGATTTTATGAAAGCTTCAATTGTGGAATTTTTAGAATATCCGGTGATGGTAAACTGAGCCTTGAAATAATAATGTAAGTATAGTTGCCATGTGTTAATGTTAAAGTTTTATTGTATATAGTTCACTGATGAACTAGTTACATGCATTTAAGCACTAAAAAATGCATAGCCTGTTATAAGAATTTATGTAGAATGGCTATAGAATGATTTAAAATTGTGTATAACTAAACTATAGGTCTTATCAATAACATTGATATTTGTTCTTTTAAGTCAAGTTCTTGTGAGCACTGAGCATAAAACAAATTATACCATGGATATGTGTGTCTATATACATGAGTTTAAAGGATGGAGACTGATGTATACTTGTTTGTAAGAAGAAATGTAGAATGTAAGCCTTGATACTATGGAAGGACATATAAGTCAATGAGACCA